CAAGGGAATTGAATCAGCCTAGAGTTGAAGTGGCTGCTCTCTCGGAGGTGAGAAGACTTCAACCCACGGTAGTAGAGGTCACTCCAGTCGATGAGCGTATTATGGTATTGAGACTGAAGCTTTCATTTGGCTTCATGTCTCTTATTGCTGTGTACGCTCCTACGGATGTATATAAACTTGAGGTGAAAGAGATGTTTTACGCCAAACTTGCATCTATGGCAGACAGTTGTCCTCGGCGAGATATTCGTATTGTTCTGGGTGACTTCAATGCGGTATCTGGCTGCGATCGAGCTGGCTACAAGATGTCTGTCGGTCCTCATGGCTCAAGAGCTGATGCTAGCAGCGAGAATATCCTCCTTTTCTGTGATTTTGCTAGGTCCCAGAAATTGATGATCTCTGGCTCCTGGTATCAACGTTCTGAGGGCGAGATGGGGTGCCCGCATCGTTGGACTTGGTACAGCGATACTGGTAGTGTGGCCAAGGAGATCGACCACATCCTTGTTAGCACTCGATATAGTATTCTCCAGAACTGCAGGGTGTATCGAAGCGCCCAGTTCTATGGAACCATTTGGACAGATTGAGGGAGGATGAGTGTGCCCGGGGGTATGCTGAGGCTGTCTCTGGTTGTTTCACAGCACTCGAGGGCCTGACAGACCCGGTTATTCTGTGGGACACCTTCAAGAGTGAAACGCTTGATGCAGCCCATGAATCGATTGGTGAACGCCCAAGAGCAAGGCAGAAGTCCATTTCGCAGGAGACACTGGAAGCCACAGATGTTTGCCATGTGGCTCGATTGTCAGGGGATCGCAACTTGTGCCGTTCTCTGGTGCGTAGGACTAGGTCACTGTTGAGAAGGGATAAGGAACAGTTTATCAGGAATCTTGCAGAGGAGGTCGAAAGCCATTTCCTAGTAAATGACCTTCGCCCTGCCTACCAAGCCCTGAGAAACCCCTCCTCACAGACGACTGCAGTCCGCTCAGCAAGTGGCTAGATAATCTCAGATCCTGATGGGGTGCGTGTGTATTGGACTGAGTATTTTGAGCAGTTGTATCAGGTTGATCCACCAACAGTTAACATGGATGAGGGTAATGTTGAGATTCCTCTGCCAGACCCACCCATCAGCGAGGATCCACCCTCCCTGACTGAAGACAGAGGGGCGATTTCCAAGCTGAAGAGTGGTAAAGCAGCAGGTGTTTGTGGCATCCCAGCTGAATTGTAAAAGGCTGGTGGAGAACCTGTGGCAAGGGGCTTACATGCCGTCCTGTTTGCCATCTGGCAGACCGGTACCATTCCCCTTGACTTGCTGAGGGGTATGGTCATCCCTCTCTGGAAGGGGAAAGGAGATCGGTGGGACTGCAGCAATCACAACTCAGTATACCAGGCAAGGCACTCACGCACAAACTACTGAGACGTATCAGAGACCACCTGCTGAGGCACCAAAGGCATGGACACATTCTCCTGCTTCGTAGACTTCCAAAAAACTTTCGATAAAGTAAACAGAGCATGTTTGTTCGCAAGTTTGTTAAACGCAGGTGTAACTGATAATAACATAGGGGTTAAACAAGGGGATCCAGTGAGTGCTACTTTGTTTAATGTGTTCCTTGATAGCCTGGCTGTCGAGTTAAAAGCAAGTGGGATTGGTATCGACTTTTATGGTATCTCTCGAGTAGGACTTTTGTATGCAGATGTTGTGGTTATATTTGCAAACACCGAAATTGAACTTCAAAAATTAATTGATCTCACCTATAACTGGTATCAGAAGTGGAGGTTGTCAATTAACACAGACAAAACGCAAATTCTACATGTGCGAAAACGTCAGAAACCACAGAGTAAATCCATGTACAGATATGGAGATCGCAGTGACTACAGGCCGCTTGCTTACAACTCCAAATACAAATATCTAGGTGTTATACTTGGCGAACATCTCAATTTTAATGTACTAGCAAATGATCTAACAATGTGGTCGCCAGGTTTAGTATTTCGGACGTACAAGAAGATGTATGATGCCTGTACTATAATCTAAGGAGTATAGTGGAGGGGTCTGGGGATTGGGGCTTTACCTAAACTGGACGCTGTACATAACAGAGCTTTAAGAGCATATCTTGGCGGTCATAAATACTGCCCTATAGCTGCTCTCGAAGAGAAATGGGTTTTGAACCACCACTTGCTCGAAGAAAGATAGACATGGTTAGGCTCTGGAACCATATAATTCAGTTAGATGAAACAAGGCTTCCACGCAAAATCTTCGAGATTGAGCACGAAAAGAAATTAAGCTGGTGTTCAGATATGCAGTATATTTTTAGTCAAATCTAATATTTACTCAAACAAAACGAAAGTTAGAAATTTTAACCTGCTGAGGTCTGCATTAATTCGAATCCATCAGCAACATAAATACAAAACCCAAGTTAAAGATATGTAAATTGTTCAAAACTAAATATCAGCCTGAGCCATATGTGTGTGTACATATATATATGTATATATATATATATATATATATATATATATATATATATATATATATATATATTCTTCTTCTTCTTCTTCTTCTTCTTAGCGTCATCCCTATTCGGGGTCGCCGCAGCGCGTCTTTAATTCGCGCATTGTTGATTTTGGCAAGAAGTTTTACGCCGGATGCCCTTCCTGTCGCAACCCCTTTTTAGTCGCCTTTTACGATCACGCAGGGGATACGGTGGGACTATATTCTAAAGCCGGACATCAGGGGTTCAAGGTATATTACTGAGGGAATATAATTGCATCATGGAAAATAATGCTACTGGGGTATCTGTGCATATAGACATACATACATACGTACATACATACTTATACATGTATGTATATATTTATCTGTATATATACCTAAATATGTATATATATATATATATATATATATATATATATATATATATATATATATATATATATATATATATATATATATATATAAATGTGTGTTGTGTGTGTGTTTATGCATATATACATATACATATGCATATATATACATATATTTACATATGTATATATTATATATATATATATATATATATATATATATATATATATATATATATATATATATATATAAATGTATATATGTATATATATATATATATATATATATATATATATATATATATATATATACATATATACATATATACATTTTTATATATACATACATAGATAAATGAATGAATAAACAGATAAGAATATATATATATATATATATATATATATATATATATATATATATATATATATATATATATATATGTAGAGAGAGAGAAAGAGAGAGAGAGAGAGAGAGAGAGAGAGAGAGAGAGAGAGAGAGAGAGAGAGACAGAGAGAGACAGAGAGAGAGAGAGAGAGAGAGACAGAGAGAGAGACAGAGAGAGAGAGAGAGAGACATGTATAAAAAAAAAGTGGAGAGTGATTTTTATTCTTTTAAATAGGTCTTTGCGAAAGAAGGAAAGGTATGTCTAGGAATGATTTAACAGAGCAAGCGATGTAACTGATAATTCAATATTAAAAATTTTATCAAAATTCAAATGGATATCGCTTATCTCAATGGAAATTAATATTCATTTATTTGATCCATTTAGATATTAATTTTCCTGTATTACTAAACCATTTATTTATTTTCTAATTCGTCTTTTGCATCTTTTATTAATTTTCCGTCTTGTGTGTTGTGTGTGTGTTTATGCATATATACATATACATATGCATATATATACATATATTTACATATGTATATATTATATATATATATATATATATATATATATATATATATATATATATATATATATATATATATATAAATGTATATATGTATATATATATATATATATATATATATATATATTATATATATATATATATACATATATACATATATACATTTTTATATATACATACATAGATAAATGAATGAATAAACAGATAAGAATATATATATATATATATATATATATATATATATATATATATATATATATATATATATATATATGTAGAGAGAGAGAAAGAGAGAGAGAGAGAGAGAGAGAGAGAGAGAGAGAGAGAGAGACAGAGAGAGACAGAGAGAGAGAGAGAGAGAGAGACAGAGAGAGAGATAGAGAGAGAGAGAGAGAGACATGTATAAAAAAAAAAGTGGAGAGTGATTTTTATTCTTTTAAATAGGTCTTTGCGAAAGAAGGAAAGGTATGTCTAGGAATGATTTAACAGAGCAAGCGATGTAACTGATAATTCAATATTAAAAATTTTATCAAAATTCAAATGGATATCGCTTATCTCAATGGAAATTAATATTCATTTATTTGATCCATTTAGATATTAATTTTCCTGTATTACTAAACCATTTATTTATTTTCTAATTCGTCTTTTGCATCTTTTATTAATTTTCCGTCTCTCCCTCATTCTATTGAGTTGTTTATGTGGCAGAAAACTAATGTTCATAAACCACTGAAAAGAGAAAATTATTTTGTTCAGGTGAAGATTTGTGTCAGGGGTTCAAGGTATATTACTGAGGGAATGTAATTGCATCATGGAAAATAATGCTACTGGGGTATCTGTGCATATAGACATACATACATACGTACATACATACATATACATGTAAGTATATATTTATCTGTATATATATCTAAATATATATATATATATATATATATATATATATATATATATATATATATATATATATATATATAGACATATACTTTACGATACTGATAATGGAAAGTGATAATAATTTAAGATTAATATGTCTTTTCACGAACAATTTTCTGGTTGACATTTGTGTAAAAAAAGATTTTGATCATTTCAACTGTTTTCGAACCCTTTTCTACACTTATCCGAATGACGATTCCCCGTATATGCACTATCAAGCAAAACCTTTTATTTTAAATAGAATTACAGATTATATATCACAAACTCATCTAATATTCTCAAAAAAAAAGAAAGTTGGAGTTTGTTGACGTTTATCCTCGCGGTCCCTGCTATCGACATGTCAGAAGATGTCAACATGCCCGTCTTCAGAAGAGATCCCTGTGGCATTACCTGTCTTTTTCTCACTTACACAGCGATATTTTACGCCGATTATGTCATAGTCCACTGGGTTGTCATACAGACGATGTCAAACAGGTAGGTTTAGGCTTGTTTTTCTAGGCTTTTGTAAAAATATTGTCGGGTTTCCAGACGACAGGCGGGCGTAGGTTGCAGTTTCTCTTGGAGCCACGTCTGACATGGTCGTTCTCAGTCGTTAATTTTTAACAATTAAGAATACCCACAGCGATTTTGTTATTGGTGGATTCCTCTCACACTCTCATCCAAATCTATCGAAATTATACTGCGGAGTCCCCCCCCCTCCATCAGTGACAAGCTTGGCTCTGATAGCAGGTATCAGGGAAATTGCATGGTAAAATATGAATAATATACACAGCATCATTAATCATATTGTCTAATGCAGGGGGGTGTGCTCCTTGTGACCCCCTTCCTGGGTGGCTGGGTGGCTGCAATCCCCCAACCCCAGGAGCGGAAGACAAAGAATCCCCCATATATTCATGGCACGGTGGAACGTACAACCAACTTGTGAGAGCACCCGAGTCTGTCCTACAGTCTCTCCTGGCATATGGACATGTACTTATGTATGGAGTTTGGGGTGGGGTACCTTTCATGCCCTCCCTTGTTATCAAGGCCAAGAACTAGACCAACGAACATCCTCCACAGATATTTGGCAAGATAGAGCTCAGTTAGATTTCAAATCAGTAATCCTTTATAGTATGGATGTACTTGCCAGAGACTAAGTCCTCAACTCCACATCACAAACTGGTTATCCTTTACAGTATGGAAGCACTAAGCTAGGGCAAATTTAACATACTCTTGTAGAGGACTCTTGTAGTGTCTTAATAAATAATCTGGAGACATGAATGGTAACACCACTCAGTGGTCTTAGATTTCACCTCTGTCTTGCCATTCATACTTAGGTTAAGTCAATATTGTCTTCACTTTTGTATGCATGGCAAGATAGAGCAGAAACTCAGACGTACCAAGTGGACTTATTCAGTTAGTGGCATTTTCCTCAATTTTTCTTCCCATTATTTTCTGATCTTGCATTCGTTTCTGTAGATTATTTTTTGTACCGACAACTGCATCTTTTTGTCTTCTATAAGAATAGCATTTTTTGTTTACCCGAGCTTAGTACATCAATACTGTAAAGATTATACAGTAAGTCCCCAACTTAAGAACATAATGGGGACTGAGAGGCTGTTTGTAAGTTGATTTGTCTGTATGTCGAAAGTTAGGTCTCCATTACCTTTTTTTCCCATTGTTTTAAAGTTTTGTTTACATTAAAAATACCTGTAAATAAATCCCAATAGGTACGACATACCTTATACAGTACCAGACTCTTGAACTATATTTGCGCCCAGGAAATTTGAAGTTTGCTAGCATCTTTCAAACAATTTTTTGGACTTTAGTACTTAAAAAATTTTGTTTGTATGTATGGAATGTTTTTAATAGAATGTTCTTAAGTAGGGGACTATCTGTACTTCAGATGTAATAAATTACCAGTATGGTTGAAGTTATTACAGCTACTTGGACTCATCTCTATCTCTTTATGGAGTGACTGTGGGTGTGAGTGCCCACAGGTACGGCTGGGTGCTTAAGGTGCAGCTGGATATCAATGGGGGAGCTGGCAGGCTCCCCAGTCAGTTAAGGACTGGGCTGTCCTTGTGTTGCTACAGCTATTGTAGTGTTCTGCTGGAGGATCAGGGAATACTAATCACGGTTCTGGATTCTGCAGCTTAAGTACATGGGCCCTGAGTAACCGTAGATGTTATTGTCATCTACTATTTGGGCTTGTCTATATCTCTTTATGGAGTGATTGTGTGGGTATGAGTGCCCACAGGTATTGCTGGGTGTTGAAGATGAAGATGGAGATCACTGGGGAAGCCAGATAGGCTCCCAAGTTGGCTAAGGGCTGAGCAGTCCTTGTGTTGCTGCTGCTGTTGTCGTGTTCCACTGGAGGATCAGGGATTGTTGATCTCGGTTCTGGATTCTGTGGCTTAAGTACACGTGCACTGTGTAAGCGCACAAGGGAAGCCTGCTGTCCAGTGAGCGTGGACCTGGTGTGACCCAACCTGGGAAACTACACTGAACTTCAGGTTGTAGGGTTGTGCTGCTACACCAGGTAAGTGAACACACTCTTCTATACTTGGCAAAAACTGAATATGCAAGAGAAGCTTATGTTGGCCATCTAATTATATGCCCTTTTTAGTGTTGGAAATTAAAGCTCAAAAGATGGTTTTAGGACATTCAGGCAATGCACATGAGCTTGCTACCACAAGAATATAATTTTAATTTCTTCAAGTCACTATAAATGAAACTATATACATTGGTAATTCTTTACACTACTGCACTCACCAGAACTAAGTACCCAACCCCACATCACAAAATTGATTCAACAATAAGTTGCTGTGACTGGTCATACCCTTTAGGCACTGCTCAAGGGCAGAGCCCCTCAATACCCTGAGAAAGGTTCTCTTCACCTCAGTATTCAAGATAAGAGTTGAAACAGGTGAACGCTAAGTTGACTTTGGCTGTGAGCAGTGTTTTTCATTATCTTTTTCCTTGATTTTTATTGTTAGTGTCTCCAGATTATTTATTGTACCGACAACTGTAGCTTTCTGTCCTCTGCAAGAATATCAACTTCAATTTACCCAACCTTAGTGTATCCATTCTGTAAAGCTTAACCATGACATTTTTTAATTAAAGGATTGTCCATATACTTCAAATCATTATACTGAATAATTGTCAGTAGTGAAGTAGATCTCGACATGTAGTAAATGGTATTAATGAAGAAGATCAGTATCTTTCATAATATTTTTCAAGATTATTGTGGATTATAACTTTTCATTCACCATCTCCTCGATGACATAATTTTCTAGAAAACTTCCACATTTTAAAACCTTTGAAATTTTATATTTATGACCTCCTATCAATATCTGCTAACCAAGTATTGCAGAAATGTTCAACAGAATTAATATATTAAAACAATATGACTTATGAAAATTCCTCTTATTTGCACAGTAACTCCAGCAGCAAATTCTTTCAGGGGTTTATTTTGCCAGTCATATATAGAAATTCCAGGTAGGGGACCCCCAAACAATGACAAAAATGCATAAAAACCACATAATCTAACCCTGATATTTCCTGATGATATCTCATGCCCTCACATCTTATTGTTGCCTAGCACTGATTAAAACTAAATGTACATAGACATCATGAGGAGTCCAAGATAATGCCTTAGGAAGCTATTGTCAATAATGATGATAACTGTAATAATATTAAAAGCTTTAAGGGAGGGGGTTCCTGGGCCTACTAAGTGACCAAGTGCTTGTGGAGTCACCTGTGTGCAAACAAAATTAACAAACTAAAATCACACTTGGTACAGCATGCATATTTGCCCACTTAGCATCAACAGATTAACCTCAGAACAATATTAAGATAGTTGCTCATATTATTAACAACACAATATGCTTCTGCAATTTTCCTTGCATGAATTGAGATGGTGAACTTTCTTGTATGTAACAATCTCTTGTAAAAGTTCATGTAATGTCAACTCTGTACCAACAGTTGTAACCTGGAAAATAGTACATAAGTTCATAATTCATGAAAACAAAACTACACAATATCAAGGTAAATCTGTAACTTATTGAATGTGAAACAGAATAACTTCCTTTCTTTATTCATGGATGCTTTCAGATGAGTAAAATAATGACAAAATGAATTAGCATATTGCTACAGTTCCGAGTACATGAACAGAAAAACAGTCCGTCCTAGATCGTTTCAGGTTGATATATAAACTGTCCTTTTGAGGAGGGGGAAATGTATGCAAGGATAAGGAAAGGTAATAGTTGCAGCAGTGTGAAATGTATCTGCACATAGATGGCTCTGCTAGTGCACAGCCACAAAGGAATCAATTAGTAGACCTTGTGATCTTACCTGGTTTCACCTTTCCTTGAATTGGCGGGAAAAGTGTATTTTTTACTGTTGCTATGAATATCGATGGTTATTTTTATTTTAAACATTATAATTACCATAATGTTATAAACATTAGTAACAGCAGAATAAGTTAGCATAAAATATTTTTGCAAGCAAAGAAAAGGGTAAACGGGCAAGACAGGCAATACTCGTAATTGGCTCATTGGTGGCTTATTATAAGTGTAGCCATCTCTGTGTTAAAACAATTAAACAAGTAAACTCACAGTGGGCATGGTATACACTTACACATCATGCCCATCAGCACTGGGTTAAATTATAATATAGAGGGGTAAGATATTACATTCTTTTTAGTCTCATAGAAATCTATAAAACCTTTAAATTTATAAAAGATAATACTTGTAATTGTGCTTCAACAGTGAATAATGATTTACCTTGTGAATGCACACACATGAATATATGCACACATGTAGATGCAGAAACTTACACATATAGGTACACATGTGCATTCAAAAGAGAGAGAGACAGAGACACACACACACAATTATACAAAGCACATAAAAAAAGGGATGCAGTTAGTTTTATATCTATACATTTCTTCTTACAGCTTATGGGGTGCTCTACATGTCCTTCTCTTCAACACCCTAGTGTTCATGACGCTCATGGCACATGTCCGAGCTGTGTTCAGTGATCCAGGGATCGTCCCATTGCCCCAAAGCAGGCTTGATTTCTCCGACATGCATGCTGGCAAGTATATCATCAGATGCTAAGTGTAGTAATCCAGAACAAGTTAATACTAAGAATACATGTATTCATGCACTGTTCTCCGTCTTATTCATAGAATTTTTATTTCATGTGGATGGCTCCAAAAATTCATAGTCACCATTATTAGGCCAACTTGATCACACTTATTTACCCCATTCCTTGAATTACTGGAAACAAAAATTTTTGTTTTTATTACTCTTGTATTGGTACTAACACTGTAACAATGATAGTGATG